TAATCCGAAGTCAACGGGACCGAGGCTTAAGTTCGGATTAACGGCATCTTCGGATAAACGAGGTAAATTTCTTATTATTAATATTAATAAACGGGACCAGAATATTTCTTCGGATTAACGAGAAATTCGGATTAACGAGGTTGACTATGTATTACCAATAAGTTTTTTTTTAATAAACATAGAGCTAGAAATTGATAAATTACCTTGGCCTAATCGGGACAATTGTACAACCCTATTCTTAAAATCACGTGATTGAAAATTGTAACAAAATGTCACGTATCCACGATCGCACATTAATCACATCACTCAACGATCAATACTTTCTACAAAATGGCCTCTATTGAAAATTTCGAAGAACTTATGAAAGTCATCCCTGACCACTATCGTTTGAATTTACTAAAGGGTGAGATTAAGATAATGCCCGTACACAACAAAACAAGTATGTTATTTTTTAAAATGTCGACAGAAATTGTATTGCCATGTTAAACGCATTAAAAACATAGGTGAAAAAGAGGCCAGACTTATTACACAACTTGGCACTTGGTGCGTGAATAACCCCAACCTTGTTGGACGATTTGGTAGTAGCCAGGTATGGTCTACGAATTATCGTATGAACTTTTTTTTCTCATGTGCTAATATTATATTAATTGCAGGGTGGCTTTACGTTGCCGTTAGCTACTCCAACGATTTTATGCCCAGATGCTTTTGTCGTTCTCAGTACAAGGTTTTTGAATACCATATTGACATACACGTCTGCACCATTTGTAAACTTTTTTATTATTGAAGGTGGAATACTTTGCCTCTCAACAAACAAGACGAAGTATTTCCGGCATTGGCACCAAACTTTGTAGCAGAGATACGATCAATGAGCGATTCGGGAGATTTCGTTCATGAGAAAATGTGTACATGGATTGAAGCAGGAGTCGAAGAAAGTGATCACTATTTATTAGTTATGTTTATTGATTACTGCTACTAATTATTACTGTTATGTTTATCCAGGAGGGTTTCTTGCTAGATCCTATTACCCAAAATGCAAGAATCTATTTCAAAGGTAGTCATCATATCCACTGGCGAGATTTGGGAAATTCTCCTACTATGTCTTCACGAATTCTGAATGGATTTGTTCTAAATCTACAAAGCATTCTTTGAAGGTAATGTGTCATTGATAAAGAAGACCGGAGTAGCGGTTGTTTCAAGGGAGGAATCATATCGAGCCCCAACCCATAAATGAGAGTTCCTTCCCGCTACTCCATACAAACCAAATCTGTTTAATATACTAACGTAACCATCCATTTTAATATTTCTTTCATAAAGGCCTTGTATCTTCCTAACATTCCCACAAAATGCACAAGTTTCCATAGTACATCTTTTTTCAGTCTTGATTCGTTTGAAAATTTGCATAAATTAGGTCAATATAGTTAAGCTGATGCCTGTAAACAATAATTGACCTAAAAATATGTTTGTCAAAATTATGGATGCATCTAACCAATTGAATCCGACTTGAATAGTTCATCTATATATAAACATGCTCGAATCGCTGAACACATTCTTGATGTTATACTGTACATGTAAGTTTTGAAGTTTCTTATACACGTAATATGACCACTCACCGCGTTTTCTCAACAGCGCGTGCTGAATAATAAAAGGTTCCCACTGCCTGCACTGCAGAAGGTTTGATTATTTAACACGCATTTCAATTTGTTATCATATGACAAGAGAGAAATATACTATCAAATGACAATACACATTTACTTGGTGCATTTTGTCAAGTGCAGTGAGTGCAAAGAATATAGCAGATTTACCAGAACCACGCTTCCTGTGGTTCCCACTACTAAAGTCTTTGGGAAGTTGTAATAAGTCATAGCCTCCTGAGTTTGACAATATGTGGTAATTGCAAACCTCCAATAAATAATGTCGAATAAATAGTTGGACTTTAGATTAAAAAATATTAGGTGGTCACTTACCGTGACAGCTTTTTTGGAAGGGTGATAAGATGAAAAGCGTGACGCATATAAATCTTACAAAAAAGGATAATGCCGTGTCTGAATTGGAGTTAAAAATCATAAACCCGTAGAACTGATCTGGCAGAATATTCTGATACACGAGTGTGGGACGCCCTTGCTCTAATTTAATATAATTGCTCTCGCCTGCTCTTGACTTGTTCCACACACTAACGCGACTTCGTATCCAAAATGCACTCACATTGAACGAAATTATTTATAATAATAATCACTATGAGACTGTTAAATCTTTTAATCAGAATTATATCTCAAGAACGACTAGGCGAAATAATGCTTCAAAACTTCTTTAGTCTCTGTTAAACTAATAAGCTGGAAGTTAATATAATATCTGACTACAGTGATTTCTTACCGAAAAAATAGATTGACTATTACTATGGGCGAATTTTTACTTGCCGCATTTCGCATAAGAATAATAGCATGAGCCAATAGTGATGGATTTTCAAACCCCCGTATTTTTGAGATGAATCACGTGTCATAAAACTGGCAATTCACTTTTTGCCTTTACTCAAACTGATCTCACTGAAAAGACATTATCTTCAGCGACTTATCCACAGGTCACTGTTGTTCACCAATACTCTAGCCCTGAAACGTCGCTCATTCTCGTCATCGCTCATAAATGCAATGAAATCTTCGGTTCAGATATTAGGCTGCTCCACTGGCGACACAACACCTTCCGTCGTTATTCAATATGACACTAAACATCCGCTACTTGTTTAATTGCGGGGAAGGAACACAACGATTGTGTACTCAGCATAAGGTTAAAATTACGAAATTGAAAAATGTATTCTTGACTCGAATTCATTGGGAATGCATGGGCGGACTACCAGGTTGGTTTTTAAACCCTCCCCCTTCGATTTTATTTGTCATTGGAATGGCGAATCTGACTCCCCCACACAATTTATGTTGTTATCCAGGAATGTTGCTTACATTGGCTGATGTTGGATTGACAAATATCAAAATACACGGCGGCGATAACTTAACACATGCTTTAACTGCGACGCGTAACTTTTTGTTAAGGTAAGAAGGAACTCAACTCGTATATATTCTGGCGTTTCAGCTCTTTTCTCACATTCTAAAGAAGTAGACTTACGTTGAAATTCTTTATAGAACTTCCATGTCTGTAACGACACGCGAATTTCCAGTCGAGGGATCGAGTTTCCAAGATGAAAACATGACTATAAAGCAATACCATTCTGGCCGGAAACTTTCACGCCGAGTTCAGCTCAAAAGGAAATTTCGGTTCCAGCAAAACGAGAACACGACGAAACTTTACTTGATTACAAGAAGAAGATATTGTCTTTCATGTTTAATACGACTAGACATGGATCAGAGCATGTTCGAGTAAGTGCTAACGGGAAGAAAAAGTCGAGTGATGGCGCATCTAGTGGAATGCGGAGCAGACAGACGCCAACATTTAAGGATGCAACTCCTACGGCTTCAATACGAAGATGCTGTAACAGAAACGCATGCGTTGTTGGAATCTAACGAATCTTCTAATTACTTACAAAAGCCTGATAACCTTGTCAATGAAAGAAGAGAGCTTTATTCAAGAAGATTGCCGAAATCAAAGCCTAATCCAATCTCTATTGCTTATATTTGCAAAGGACCTGACTATAAAGGCAAATTCAATCCCAAGTCTGCTAAAGCGCTAGGATTGAAACCGGGACCATTATATGGTAAAGAGTGCACGATACATAGGCATTTTTTGACGAAATAAGCGATACTTACAGTTCTTTTATTAGCTCAGCTCGCTGATGGACAGTCGGTAACTGCGCCTGATGGTACTATAGTGCATCCTCATCAAGTGCTTGGCCCTTCTCGTCCCGGAGCGGTTGGTATCCTTGTCGACAGGTTTTCGTTGTTGTTTTTTTTAATCATGATAACATTTACCAATTCATGAAACTTTTAGATAACCATAATAGTCGATGTACCCTCCGTCAATTATATACAATCACTAATCAATTCTCAAGAGTTTGGGCCTTATCAGTCAGGGGACGAGAATTTCCGACCTCGAGTTATTATTCATATGGTTGGGAATGGTGTACTGGAAGACGAACGATATCAGTCTTGGATGAGAGAATTTGGCGATGAGACAGAGGTCAGTACTAGCAAATTTGATTGAAAATGTCAAGTATCAAATCTTTACTTTGTTCACACTTTTATTTGATAACATATACAGCATTTAATAACAGGCGAGACATGCAATGCACAGAGAATAATGTTTAATAGTGCGGCTCTAAGTCAACTAAAGCTTTCAAAAATTGACTCTAATCATTTCCGTGTTCCGTTTTATTCTAATCGACCTCAGAAGTCGTTGAGCGACAGTGAGTCATCGTCACCGTTTGCTCGTATGGTGTTTATTACTGTGTTACATTGTATTTCTTTTGCTTATCATACTCTTTATTTATTAGTATCGAATCTACCTGCCAAAGCGCGAGAAGCAGAACCCAAATTAATATATCAGACCGAACCAGTGGCGCAGTTAGATACTTCACAAATTGTGTCAGATTTTGGCCCAAATCAAGCGCTTCTAACAGACGACGCTTTATGGAAAGAGTATCTAAAAACTGTGGAGATTAAGAATGAGATTCAATCGACCAAGTTGGATCTGGCACAATTTCCCGGAAATGACGTTATTGTGACCACATTGGGCACAGGCTCTGCTCTTTCATCAAAATATCGTAATGGTAACTTGACTTTCCGTAGTGCATATGTTAATTGTCTTTGATGTTTATGTTATTAATAAACTTTATCAGGCTTATACTATTTATGTTTCTAGTTAGTGGCACAATAATTACTATACCTTCATGCGGCTCCATTATCCTCGATGCCGGCGAAGGCACACTGGGCTAATTGTGTTAGTTGGATGCTTTTTCTGTGCACACTACCTTGCTGATCAGTACATGTATTTATCAACAAAATCTGACTCATTTATTTCATGGTTGTTGTTGCCACTGTTGTCATCATCATTGTAATCCTCACTGTTGTTGTTTTCGTTGTTTCCATTATTGTTGCCATTGTGTCAGGTGAATCATAGACACAGTGCATCTTCCAACCAAATGAGGCCACAAGAATGTGCTCTATGTATTGTCGAGTTGTATGTCATAACAAAGGTATAAATAATCTTAATTCAATCATTTCCTTGTAATTAGTTATTACTATCACACAACAACTTTGTAAAGCCACACCCGATCATTCGGTTAAGTCTCTCAACTTTGTCCTTGTGATTGTGGGCGCCGAGGACGGTTGTGTATTATCTTAATATTGAGAACCGTGCAAACGTTTTTGATTACCTCTGCAACAAACTCTTTTCCGTTGTCACTTTATAGAATCTTTGAATCTTAAACACGTCATTGATGAGACAAGAGATGTTTACAACAGCCGCCGCTTCTTTGTTCGTCATTGGGACTGCCACAAGAAATTTTGAAAATGTACAAGCATGTCAACAGCCATGCATGGCCGTTATTTACATTTGCGTATTCTGTGTACGACACATTTTACGATGTTTGTTTTAAGCGTGTCGAAATACGTATAAAGCATAAAAAGAACGATGAATTATTAGATATGATCATTAATACTTCACTCTCAATGACAGTATTATAATCTCTGAAAATGTTATTGGAGTTCACTGATTGATCCAATGCCAACTAGTTTATTTGTGACAAAGATAAGATTGTTTATAGTATTTTTACATGTATGTTACAATTTATATCTACTGGATTATTGTTGCAAAATACATTAAGTAATTCACAGTCACCGACCACCCTCCTACATTTGTAATTACCGTAAAATTAATAGCGAATTTAGCGCACCTTATTATGGGTAATATACACATAAAAATTGCAATATGCTAAACCGAATTTACCTAAAAGCCGATTCAATCCTACAAAAAACGTTAAAATTAGGTTATGCAACTCGAATATTTAAAATGCAGTAAAAATTAAACCCCATATAATTTTGTACAAAAAAACCGCTATCAGATTATAAAAGGTTTCCGAATTTTGAATCTGGGGTACATTCGGTAGTCACTGACCAACACCCTAAATTTGCAATTAAATGCAAATATTGACACAACTGCCGTGAAATTAGTACTGGATTTAGCACACTATTGTACAGCATGTTTACAATAATTGCAATGTGTTAGCTAGTAAATAATAAAAATTAACTTTGAGTTACCGGAAAACTACATCAAGTTGTGTGACCTAAAAGTTTAAAAATTCAATCCACATAATAAATTACACAGATTTACAAAGGAACAAAAAACCTGCTATCGAATGCAAAAACTTTAGCCATTTATTACTTTATATCACCTTTTCCCAATATCTGCAAGCCATTCTCGATGTTCTCGAGCCCACTATATTCGATTTGCCGAAATAAGTGGGTTTCAATCGGCAACCCCCCCCAATTCCTATAAAACAGCAGTTTCAGTTAATTGAACAACGTCTGCATGAATTTGTTTGTAGTTCTGCCGGTGATTGGTTCAAACAGCTATTTCAAGACGTCGTTTATCTCCATCTGTCAGTATTGGTGGTCTCGTGGGGCAGGAGTTGCTGTACCATCTTCACAATACCTTACCATCAATTCATGTATTGTTGACTTTGGATGGCCAGTTTTTTTCTCAATCGAGTGACCAAATAGCCACCATCTAATAATAAGATCACATTCAAATTCAGTAAGCCCTTGTCGTTCAGCCATTTTCCACTAAATATGCAGATTATATTGTGGTTATCACATGCATGTAATTGTGATTTCGGAGTATTGTCAACAATCATACTTTAGTTTCTCAACAACAAAGCAAGATATTTGGCTAAAGTTTTTTGCATTAATAGCAGATGTTTTGCGCTTTCAAATAAATATAAATTTATTATGTGGATTGATTTTTTAAACAATTTTAAACTTTTAGGTCGCATAACTTAATGTTAGTTTTTAGGTCAACATAAAAGTTAATTATATTTAATTCTACTGTATTAGATAACACACTGCAATTTTTTGTAAACATGTTGTACACTGAAATCCACTATTAATTTCATGGTAATTGCATTGCTCATTATGCCAATATTCTCATTTGATTATAATTGTCGGTGACTTTGAGACACGTGTATATTATGTACATAATAATGCTGACATTTATATTTCAAATTTTAATTTAATAATATCCTACAATTGACTTATTAATACAGTGAAAAAAAAGTTGACACACAAAAATTACGATAAACGGGTTGATATTAATGCGAAACATAATAAGCGTCAGGAGAAATCAAAAGAATATGCAAGGCATGCAAAGAGCAATCGTTCGATCAAAACGTGACAGATGTACGATATTTTTACCTGAATTCCGTCGTCCTAATTGGGGGTATACACATTGTTTGCCAACCGAAGCCATTGCTTTTCTCATTAATGTGATCTCTCACATGCATATTATTATTATTACATTGTCGTAATAAATGCCTTTGACATCCCTTCTTCTCATACTCTGCTTAACACTATATTCGAAACCCTTTTGATTTGTTCTTAAATCCTCGGCGGCCTCTGATAAATAAAAGAGAGAAAATGACTGACAAACTGAATTTGAGCGTGGTGAAATAATTGGAAGTTGGAAGTGTGGTGCCAACACAATGAGAGAGTTGAAGTATTTGTTTGGGATGTTATTAAGAGATATAAGCAACGTGTACCGCTGAAAATGCCTCCCGCAGCGGTAAGCCTGTCTGTAGAGTAACAGCGGGAGATATTTATACCATTTCTCAATATTATTGAATTCTCAAAATATCTTTTTCAGGATGACAACGCTCCAGCGCACACGGCGAGGTCAACCAGAACTTGGAAAGAGGATAATTCTATTAGTGCACTTCCCTGGCCTGCAATTGAAAATTTATGGGATGAATTAGATAGAAGATAAGCCGAGACCTAAAAACAAATGAGAACTGTTTACAGTTATCAAGAATAAAAACAAAATAATTTGATCGATAGTATGCCTCGAATAAATACTAATAAGATTTCTAAAAACTCCACATTAAGTTGAATCGAATAATATAAAGTTTATTAATAATCTGAAGCTTAATCATCTGATCACGGGTGGTGATCCTTGTCAAGTTATTTGTTGATGGCATGACTTGATGACAGCAAGTTCTCAGAGGATGACTGAATGGCAATTTGCCTATTCTAGTATTTTATTGGTTTGATCTACTTTGCTACGGTTAACATATGACATCTTTTTTAAACTGCTAAAGCTTATACTATCCGACTACACTTTAAAAAAATATGTGTCACTGTTAGTAAACTCCTCAATATTTTGTAAAAAAATATATATTGTCCTGTTGTAAAAGAAAGGCACGTACTCTAATAACTCTAATAACAGGACTTTCCTCGCCTATATCCGTAAAGAGATATACAAGTTCGGGGAACTTCATAAATAATATTCTCTTCAGCAACTATTTACAACCATTATTTATTGTATTATTGTGGCGTTATGTCATCTTGGTAAATTTATGTCAATGTAGTAGTACCAATAGGTAAACTAATTATTGCATTGAAATCATGGCGATTAATTGGCTGACCTTTTTCAAATGTCACGTGCGTGCACTTATGGAGGTTATACAATTATATATAGGACTCAAAATCGCTTCACGTGTAGAACATTGAGGGTATGCACTACTTGCGTTGTCAGCATGGTATTGTTCTTTATGGCTATCTTTATGGCTCCTTTGTTACGTTTCTGAAACACACGCTCATGCTCATGACTAACACAGAATATAATACTTTCTTTTGTCTGCTTTTATAAACGACAGGACAACACTATAGCAATATATTGATCACAGTACAGTCAGACCTCTCTAAATGCACGTCGTTCGGGACCGACGATACGCTTGCATTTATGGAGAGTGCATTTAGAGAACGCCAATCATTTTGTTTCACGTGTCATTTTCGCATAATATATTAATATTAATACCATTAACGATTGTAATGCGTAATGAACATTTAAGGTTTTAACAGATATCTTTAATGCTTCCGAGAAGCGTCCTCGCCTTACAACCTTACTTAATCGTACTAATCCACGATCGATCCTGTTCTAACCTTATAATCCAAAGGCAATCCGATTATGTAACCGGCAAAGATATCATGAACATTTATTACGTAATTATTTGTAGATTAATGATCACATGAATTGCATTTAGAGAAACACTCATATAGGGATAGATAGGGCCGAAAGCTTGCAATTGCAGAACATAGAATGTGCACTCATCTCTCTTAAGTCCCATCATGGGACCAAGCAATTGCTGTGCATTTAGATAGGTGGATCAGACCAATGATGGGGGGGACGTAATCCAATCTGTATATAAAGCCAACGATACCAGGTCGATGAGAGAAATAAATCAAATCATTCTTGCGATAGGACCACCAATACCATCACCTGGACTCTCTAATTTATACTCGTACTCGCTTTTCATATATCAAAGATGTACAACTTCTTCACAACGCTCCCCTAAGGCTGACCCTGCCGTTACAAGAACTCATCGACCCAACTCAAGTCGACAGCGAAACTCTGGTCGCATACCTCGGTCGAACAACGAATGGATTATGTATTATATTATCGAAATTTGGATGCGGCAAAAAATTTGGAAGAAGAAGCGGCGGTAAGAATAGGACATCGAAAAAAGTACCCAAATACAAGTACGATCCTAGGGAAACGAAGCAAAATACTGAAATAGATGCAAAACGAAGGGAGTCGGGACTTTATTTTTTTGATGGGGCAGGAGAATGGTGACTCACTTTGGAATGCGAAAGCATCGCTATCCCCGAGCAAAACCGTATTATGAGGAGATATGATATAACCCCCCCCCCCCCCTGTAGTCAAACAATGGCTAAGCACACACACTGGTTTATATTTAGGCCCCTCTGATGGTGAGAAGGTTAATTACAATCCAACATTGTGTGGACCACCCACTGTAATCGCACTAACCAGGGTTCATGGACATGTCAAAAGTCCTTCATGATCAAACTATTCATTCGACCCCAGACTTTGATTCAGATTCAGACCCGAGTCTGGGCTCTTTGGAAACTCTCAGTTCGAGCGGTTTAGAAAGTTTAGCGGCGGAAACTTTTGAAATTGTCAAATTAAGTCCTAAAGTATCAATGCCAACGCTCAATCCAACAGTGTCCAGATCGTCTATTATACTTGAAGCGAACGGAGTTCGGGCCTTCGGATATATACACTGACGGACGTATAAAAAACATCCCTCCCTTTCAAAGCAAAAGCCATCACTTCCCCCGCGTACACAAAAAGTCATCGGACTACGAAAAGCTTTACAAAAGCGGCAATCGTCCGTCAGCATCGACGAGGAAAACGTGTCCGTGATGATAAATCCTATTCAAACAATCGGAGAGCAAGCACACGTGCCAGTCATGTAAATGCTTTGGAATCAACTTCAAAGAGGCGTTCTAAACGAATTCGTACCGGAAGGCGTAAACTTGCTCAAATAAATGCTGGCCCCAAACAAGCGTTGACTTTAGCAGAGAAGATCTATGATGAATGGATACCAACAAATAGTCAAAGAATGTGAGAAGTAACATTAGAAGACCACGGACTGAATGACTCACGGTTTAGAATGCATCGCTGTCTGCCTGATAAGTTCACCTGAGGTCTCACGTATGATGACGGTCCATCAGAATTCACTCACACATTATTGGCGGCATTGAACAGGTTGTCGCCGAGTTAAAATGGACACTCAAGGTACATATCTTTTAACCGAGTTGCAGGCTACTCCATATGTATGTTCGTATACTCATAGTATTTCATCGATTTGTCGACAATAGGCTATCAAGGATACTATCGGTCTTACTCCAAAATACATGCGTTCTCCATTTGGCGACACTGATAACCGCGTCCGCGCAATTATAAAGGCAGTTGGTTTAAAAAGCAAGTATCCGATAGATATGTAATACAGTCGACACTCCCTAAATGCACCGAGAGTTTGGAACCGTTCATTTAGGGAACAATGCAAAATGGTGCATTTACAGAGTGGTAACACCCATTCACGTAAAGTATTGATGTATACCTGACTGTTGCATTGCATAAGCCTTCTTTTCTCTAATATACTTCTCTAAAATATTTAAACACTTATGACAATTTATTGATTGATGGTACAATTAATTGTAATTAGCTAGTCAACAAGCTTAAAATCTATTATGTCTGTCCATTTAAATAGTTATTTGGTTGTTCAAAACTACAGTTACTTTTACAATACATGTAAGTTCTGTCTAATGTTTGAACGGAAACATGGCCTGATGAATTAAAGATGACCTGATTGAATGATCTGATGAAAATCGTCTGATTAAATGGCCTGACATCCAAGTCTGCATCATATATGATAGCCAATGGTCTTGTATTGAGATCAATGTTTGATACAGTCAACCCTCGGAAAACTCGCAAAACCGATACTTTTTCAATTTCTGTGCAATTTATATACTCTAAAACCGATAACATATAAAACCCAATACCTGATTCTTGCAATTTCGTTGGTCAACCAATGAAATTGCAAAAATTTATACACAGTAAAGCCCGCTTTAACAAAGGTCCGTTTTAACGAAGATGTCAAACTGTCTTTTTACATGAAACAAGTAACAGATATGCAAATGAAAGAATGAATATATTGCAAAACAAATTTTATGACAATCGGAAACTGTTTAAGAGAAAAGAGCGATTAATCATGAAAATATCAACTGCGACAAATAGTATAAAAATGGAGACGCTTGCAACGATTCGTTTTTTCGAGATTATCCGAACGCGAAGAAAAGTCTAGAAATTGGGGAGTGTAATATGACGAAATTGGCTTACGTCGAACGATGAAATCTTGTCTGTCATGCCTAATCGTCGGGAACATTCATTATTTAATCGAGTACCTCAAGAGCAGATAAATTTTATCATGGTTTTTTACGCCACGTTCTCAAATAATTCCAGTAGAATGTTGCTCAAATGTTAAAATTTGGAAACTTGACAATGTTCCGTATAATTAAAATCAAAGTTACAGTACATCATATATCTTTTCTTAGACAATTGCTAATATTGATATACACAGTTATTAGCAAAAAGGGTTAGTGATAGTTATTGTATATACTATACTTTCTAATTGATATTTAGGTTGATACTATTTCTTGATTTTGCAACAAAGTTGACCAGATAAACACTAAATTTAATAACTAAATAACATCTTGCGCATGCAAATCAAATTCAAGCTAATATATTTGTATATTATCTCAGAAAGACTCTTTTCAAACTATTGATATGTTACAAACTTCATAACAACCTATTTGAAACCTGACGAGTCAGAAAACACTTGCAAGTTTGAGTCAAAAATTATAAACTACACAAACGTACATATTTTATCTCAACAAATATGCAAGCTTTTTAACAAATAACTTATAGAAGCAGGTAATTATGTTAATGTTGAATGTAAAGTATGTGAACTTATTTATAAAATTTCTAAGTTACTGTACATCAAAACAATCACCTTACAAATTCAAGATATTGGGTTTTGTAATATAATAATTTATCCATACCATATATATCAATTCAACTTGGATAACATGGCTAAAAAATAAAACAAAAAATAAAGTAGATAAGCGCGCCAACAAGTTCAAATATAAAGTATATAAGCGCGCCAACAAGTTTAAATAAAAGCGTAAACATTTCTATTAACCCACCAAACCCTAGTACACCAACACTTTGTAAAAGAGAAACGAGACTACCGGCAGCTACGTGCCCACCATAGAGAGACATATGAAAAGCGGCCATGCTGCCTTTAGCTATTCCTTCAACCGTATAGCCTATCATCGTACGAATAATCATAAGAAACACATATGGAAAACAGCACATAACAAGAGCAATAATAATTATCGTGATAATGTGATCCATAACAAATCCAGCCACCAGTTCGTAGGCTGTATTGAGTTTATTCTTAATCCAGACAAGAAATCTCTTCTGAATTTCGTCAAGAATTCCATCTGGTAACCCATTATAAAATTGCCCATTTACCGTTAAATTTGTAGAGTTTTGATCCGTTGGCATTTTGAATACCAATTGAGTTTCGGTGCTGGATTCACCTAAAATATTTTTCTCGGAGACTGGGAGACCGACAACAAATGATAACCAAAAATTACCGTCGTTAAGAATGGGTATAATAGTTTCAGGTTTAGCGGTAATGTATCTGTCACAACGGTAAAGGTTGACAATATGCAAGAGATAAGAAGAGATGGGAAGAGATGGCTGAGTCCCATCTTATTATTTTAGTGACATTCTTGTCTCAAAATTGGTTTTGAATAACCAAAATCTGATTGGTACAAATCGTTATATCGTTGTGATCAAGGTTTTTAAAACAATCTTATTTCCTATTATTTAATAGTTACACAACATTAAAGGAAAGAAAAAATTTTATCCGCTTTTACGTGTAGCGTTTATTATACAACAATTGGACAATGTAAATCATTGACCGATATAAAATTTCGTTGATTATAATAATGGTGATTGATATAGTACAGTATATGCAATGTACATCGTAAATCCAATACAATTGGTTCAATAATGTTACGACACCATGTTGCATAAAATTCATAACATTAGTATAACAAATAGTAATAAGCTAATGAATTATGCCAAACACGCATGCTGGCCTTTCCTTTGGAATACACACGTGTTGCTAAACATTTCATAACTGTCTCCAACTTATTTTGCCCATTCTTATCCCAGAAATAAAGTAGTGAAATTGCAAAATAAAAAAATTCTTTCATAACTACAAATAGTTTAAACAAAGTAAAAGTCAAAAATGTCAAAAACGATATTACCAAATTTGGAGCCTAGCATGACATTTGATCGAATGTTTGTTCTTGCTAAAAAATTTTGATCCAAGCATCTCAACTATAAGTATTCGTATGCGTAAACAAAGTCACCAGCAGCCCTCTTAAATTTTGTTGTTCTTTTTGACATTACATAATTAGTAATACTTTGACGACAATCATCAAAATATTCAGTATTCGTCGGTTGGTACGTTCATTCTAATTACACAGTGAACCCGGATATAACGAAGGAGACGGTGCAGACACTTTTCTTCGTCATATCGATGGATTCGTTATACCCGGGTTTCATGATATATACAGCATATCTAATTATGGTAATACATGTTATATCTTTAATTGTAAACATTGTTGTTCTTCTCAACTTAGTCAAAATCTAACAACAGGTAATCTACTCCAAAATTTTTCTGAGCAATACAAAACACTACCAGTTCTAACCAAAGCCTCTGAACCAGTAATACTCCGTTTCGATTGAACGTTTTTCGTCTTCTTGACCGTCAACTTTGTTGATAGTGTCAGCTATTTGTTGTATTAAAGTGACATCATCAACACTATCGTTTAAATCAATAGCCTTATTAATATTTATATAGTTTTCTACGCTTATTGGATCATCCATCGGCAATTGCTAAATGAGATTAAACGATCTCAAAGGACCTCTCATGAGATACTATCGACTGATGCCTGAGTGGCTCTAGATAATAAATTTTCAACATTATTTTTCTTAATTTTTGACAATAGAAAAGACGTACGGAGAGAGACGGTGAATTGGCAGTAGTTTTACTAGCTCTTGCTTCAAATAGTCTTGCGTAAATGCCCGATTTACATGTAGTATTTTTTTTCTTTCTGGTAATTTTCAGATTTTACTGCCTGCTTACAAGCCTCTACGTATGCTGTCTACAATGAATAGATTTTTGCATTATTACTTTTCTTCCTGATGATATGTCTAAAAAGTATACATGCCTGACTTCTAACCATTAGTGCTCATATTAATATTAACATATCGAAGAAGTAACTCAACCTACACATACAGTACATTGTCATCGTCACAACCTTCTCTTATGGGATATTCGACTGTTAACGTTCCTCACCAACCGTTGAGAGCTTTTACAATTATTTTTGCTGGATAATTCACTGAACCGGAAGCCAACTCTGATATCATTTAGGGATATCGTTAGACTATGACAATGTTATGATTTTATGAGTTTACTTGTATTCCGTTGCAAATGAGTTAATACTCGATGCCAAGAGAAGAGTTGATATTTAAATCGCTGAACTAAGAAAGAGTATAAAGAGATCGATATGACGCCAAGCGAAATATTAATAACACTACACTCGTTGAATTCCCTGAATCTTAGAAGGAATACGTAAAGAGTCGAGAATATTCGTCTAGACGTAGCTAATACAATTATGATTCGTATAATCGCTAATCACACGGGCCCATAATGAAGCGATGCTGAGAACCCTCAAGAATAGCCCATCGCGTTCACAACTAACTACACTTTGTCGCTCCGCGCTGAAAAAAAATTTTGAAATTACATATCTATTGAGTAACGGCGTTATGTGGTTCCAACAAACTCACATGTCAAGTAAATTTGTCCCTCCAGTTGGAAGCCCTTCCGAAGAAGTGGAACCATACACCTGCCATGTATGTCCACTCACTCTGTACATTTGCAAAATGCGGAATTCCGCAGTCTTAACTAAATCCTCTTCCAATTCTTTCCAGGTATCTGCAATAATTCGCAAACCCGCCAATTGCACATTGCTTAGTAAGTTGTACAATAACAATCTTTTATTTTTTTTTTCTGGCCAAATAAAGTTTCACTACCATTCTTCCAAAACTGAAAACAAATGATTAGATAATGGTTATATTCCAAAATTTAGCTTCAAAGTGTTAAGATCTAGTAATAACGAATCATTGTCACAATCCGCAATATGGATTTTCATATGCTTCTGTGAAAGAACAGGAGTTTCTCATCAATGAATTCAAGTGTATGGTTTTAGATAAAGTTTATTATGGAAATAATCCTTTAGCTCGGCGTTTTTTATAGTACGTTGTACAAGAGCAGTTTCACAAGAGATTTATCTGGATTTGTACAAATCATTATTCATTGAATTTTCTAGAGAAGATAGCTGACAGTTATAACAAACATGACTTCAATCATCTTTGAGGATGAAACAGAAAAAAAGGTTCTGGATGAAGTTCATTTCAAAGAATATGAAAATGCAGCTGATCAAGGAAATGCTCAGGCACAATCTAATCTTGGTTGGTGTTATGCAAATGGGACTGGAGTAGAAAAAGATGAATAAAAGGCAGTTGAATGGTATCAAAAAGCAGCTGATCAAGGATATGCTCTTGCACAAAATAATCTTGGTTATTTATATAGAACAAGTATTAATATGACAGATTATCAAAAAGCTGTTGAATTATATCAAAAAGCAGCTATGCAAGGAGAATCTTTTGCACAGGATAACCTTGGTTGGTGTTTTGAAAATGGAATAGGTACAGATAAAAATGTTCAAAAAGCAGTTGAACTGTATCAAGAAGCAGTCAAGCAAGAAAATGGGTTTGCATATGTTAGTCTTGGTTTATGTTACAAAAAGGGAATCGGTGTAGAAAGAGATATTCAAAAAGCTATTGAATTGTTCCAAAAAGCAGCTGAACAAAAAAATGCATATGGGCAATATAACCTTGGTTGGTGCTATGAGGAGGGAATTGGAGTGGAACAAGATGAGCAAAAGGCTATTGAGTTATATCATAAAGCAGCTGAGCAAGGGTATATTAAGGCACAAAACAAAGTTTATTTTTTTAGATACAATGATAAATCCAAGTTAAAAAGAAAGATCCAAGAGTTGGCTGAAATTTATCAGGTAAAAAAAGAATAAAATTTTTATCACTGGATTATGAGATAATAATAAAAGTTGTTGAGCAATTTATTTGTTGCAAGTAGTAGTAAATTGATAATTGTTAGTATTCCTATTATTTTCTTAGCAGACTTATCACTTTCTGAATGGTCTATTAAATAAACTTTAAGCTTTGTTACCTGACTTAAACAGTCTAAACATTCTTAAAGGCATCATGAGAAGGAGTGTCATAATGAATAGCTACTAATACTAATGATAATAAATATGACTTGTGTCGGACTAGCTTACACCTGGGAGAGCGGCGGTGTACTAGCCGTTTTGGGATTTAGTTCGTTTCCAACGGAAG